GTTGAATCGAGACACTAGATACACATTGTTGTATAGATAATGAGCATAATGAATGACACAACAAGTAGCCGCAGAAGATTTCGGATGTTAACTTCCACAGCATGGTTTTGATGCTATCTGACGTCGCCTCCTGACAAGAAGTCGTCAGTAAGGTTAGAGAAAGATATAACGTAATTTCATTCTGACACGGATCGGCGACCTCCTTCTATGTTTTAGCTGACGCGTACATTATACGTGCATGGCCACTGCACAAGCACTGTAGCAATGCACGTATAGTTTAAAAGAGTAAGAACAAAATAGAGTTAAATGTGGATTGGTGAACTAGATACGCATTGTTGTATAGATAATGAGCGACAAAACAAAAGATTCAACCTAGCCTAATTATCCCGTTTTAGCCATTAGTTATGAGGGGTCCACATGTAAAGCTACCGCTTGTGTGGATTCGTGGTTAACGCCTCCTTTGAACTACTAGCAAAGAATAGAGTTGAGGATGTGTTGAATCGTGATACTAAATACGCATTGTTGTATAGATAATGAGCATGATTGAACGACAAAACAAAAGATTCAACCGAGGCTAATTATCCCGTTTTAGCCATTAGTTATGAGGGGGTCCACACGTAAAGCTACCGCTTGTGCAGACATAAGAAACGTGGTTAACACCTCCTTTGAACTACTAGCAAGTTTAGCTGAAGTGGAAGTTAGCAAGTCTGGTAGTCAGCTGGCAAGCCTTGTCCATGAACAAGCCGATCTTGGACGGGTTGGTAATAGTTACTATAGCACCATCCGGTGGGATTCCAGGCGAGTCCGCAGTGCATCCAAAGATGGTTGCAGTGATCAACAGTTGGTCCACTGTCAGGTAATCGTGTTCATAGTCATCTTGAAAAGTTTTTTTTTCATTTCTGCCAATGGCTCCGGCGCGTGCTCGTCAACCAGGTGGATTCGTGCGAGCTCACCAGTCTTGACAATATGCGTCGAAGTCCACACAACTTTTGCCGTGATACGGAGCCTCGCTCGCACAGAGGCTAAGTTTACGTCGTTAGCCTGGATGAATCTCAGTAATCCTTCGACTGTCGAAACATTAGCAGATTGCGCCGCCTCTCCTGCCCGGATCTGCCGGTAACGCTCCAGTGGTGATACGTACGGAGCGGTTTGGGGACCAATCCCCGCGGTTTCAGCACTGCGGTTCGTTACCAGGATTGGACCAACATCCTCGGTTTGAGAGTTAAGGGTTAGGATATTGCGAGTCCGGGTATCTTGCCCGATCAAAGATGGGACATCAGAGCTGTTGGCTTCAGCGTCTTCTGCGGCTCCAGCGTCAGGAGTGATACTAGCGACGTCTTCACTACCTTGATCCTCGGTATTATCACCAGTCGTGCCTTGTTGATGTTCCATCGGGGGGACAGGGCGAACATCAGCGTTACGAGAGGAAGTGTTGGTGTTCGTAGCTCTACCGCGTGCCTTCTTGGAATCCGGCGGAGATGGTTCAGGTTTGTTCGTTGCGCGACGCTTTGGTGGCATGTCGATGTAAGGAAAAACGGGAAATGAAAACGGGAAAGTGTGGCTTTAGTGCATCGCTTTCGATGTCGCGTCCGGTGACGTCAATTTAGATCAATCCCCAATATTAACAAGAATAGTCAAAGCAAGGTGCCCGTTCTAATGTACCGTATCGGGAACGGTCATGTACTGGCGCGGATCTCTCGAAGAAACGCGTGTTCAGCGAACTTTATTGACGTCAATATTTGTCAAATTGACAGTGATTGACAGTGTTAGTA